AAAATTCTTTTTAAAAAATTGTATTTTTTTTAATTAAAAAAAAAAAATAATAATAACAACATTTTTAGCACAAATTTCAACTAAACTTGTATACATTTTCGTAATACTTTTCTTGTAGTGTGTTTTACTCAATCACATATAACTAAATAGTAAATTCACAAGATTTTTAGTTGTAATATGAAATGTAATTTGTTAAACAAATATTAAGCGAATTTCTGCAGCACATTCCGAAATTCTACTCCGATTCACTTCTAAGGCAATTTCTGTCGAATGTGATTCACTCACATGTTCAATCAGAGATAGCAGATGGCCTGATATATCGCTAATTACACGGCAATAGCATCGCAAGTGTCGAAGCATAGGTGTCAATTAGCTGAGCTGGTTGCCTTAATGACATACGCAGAGTCGCGTTGCGTCAATCAGGCAATCAATTTGTTGATCAATCGAACATGTTAATTGAGTGCAAAACAAGTGCGAAACACGACCAAAGCGGGCCGAAGGAGATTTCTGCCTTTTTGGCAAAGCTAATGAGGCCCAAAATGCCTGATTGATTGGTTGATTGACTGATTGATTAATCGATGCACATATGTAGCTCTACTCACCGTCGCGCCAGCGCGGCACTGTGACGAACAGCCGATTGCCGAAGTGCTCGACGCCAACGGGCAGGGCGTTCTGCGGGATGTAGTCGCCGCTGGCGATGGCCTGCTCCTTGAGCCTTTCGCTGGGGAAGGCAAAGTCCAGCTGGTTCCAGCTGTAGCGCTCCTGCAGCTTGTAGGCGGCGTGGGCGTGGCCAGCCAGCAGGAGCAGCAGGCCAAGCAGGCCCAGCAGGCGGATGGGCAGTCGAGGGGCGTGCATGGCGTATGCGCAATGCAGCTGCTGAATGGTTGGGATTACACACAAGTACACTGAACAAAAAAGAGTATATATGCAACTGTCTATGTCTTGGCTAAAGGCGCTGGTGTCCTTTGTCCTTTGCTGGGGGCGTGGCTTGGATTATGATTATATTTGTTTGGCTTAAATCTCAGCTCGAGCGGCTGGCGCGTTCACGACTGTTGGCCATAACTTTTCGTTCACGTTTTATATAAACTTATGTTTGCAGTCGCAGCGTTAGCAGCAGCCGCCGCAATGGCAGCAGCAACTGTTGCTGCTGTTGCTGCTGTTGCCGCTGCGGCAGCAACAGTTGCCGAAGGCACAAGCGCGTGGCTTCCTCTTCGGCAGCAGTCGGCCGGCTCGGGCGGCTTGGCTCTCGCTGTGCCATTGTCTTTTGCTACCATGATTGATTTTCACGCATATTTAGATACACCCCTGTACCCCTTCAGAGGCCACGCCTCCTTCGTCACTGCCCTCTGCCCCCCTGCCCCCTGCCCCGTGCCCATGCAGACTGCTGTAGTTCCGTTTAATGAATTTACTTTTAATCAAATCGGCTCAGCGCTTATAAAAAGCCACCCGTGACCCAACTGACCAGCAGCCACGAATTGGATTTCGAATTCGGATTCGACTTCGACTTCGAATTCGAATTCGCCTTCGCCGACGCCTTTCGCTGCGWATTTTAATATATTTATTTATTTTTTTTATTTTTTGTAATTTAATTGGCCTCAAAAAAGTTGCTCGCAATTTTTTGGGCTTTGTTTTTCATTTCGATGATTCAGCGCCGAGGGTCAAATGCGCAGAGTTTCCGCCTAAAGTGTGCGTAATATGCGAATACCCTAGAAATTAAGTGCATTAGCTAGAGCAAAAAGTATCTGCAAAAGTCGTAGATTACTTGTGTATAGATTAGTGTAGTCATATTAAAGCAGTCTGCCTCTCTTTATAAATCTGTTTCTCTCTATCGCTTGTACTGTGTCTACCTTTCCTGTCTCTATACATTTCCCCTATCATTCTCTCTATCTCTTTCTCTATCTTTCGTTATCTTTTAATATCATTCTCTTTATCTGCCTCCATCTCCATCTTCCTCTCCCTATCTCTCTTTCGGCATTACCTTCCTCTATTATATCATTACACCATTTATTACTTAAGGTATTTGACGAATTTGGTATATGAATATAATAGAAGTTAAAATTATTGAAATGGTGAAATAGTGGTTTTTATAACAGACAACAATTTCCAGTTATTGCCGATCTTTGATTTAAAAGTGACGTACGAAAATATCTTAAATCTCTCGAAATGTCTCATGAGAAATACAGACCATCGATCGAAATCTGCTCAGATACATGTAGTTTTCCATATATATATATATAATTTTCTTAAATCCAATATTTTTATATAAATTTATTTATCTTTTCTTGACATAATTCGGTCATAATTCCTACGGCTCTCTGTCTTACGAAGCGATTCTCATCTGGCCCAATTACAATATGTCTTTATAAGAACTATAAATAATTATATAAATATTATAAATTATTGTAATAATTAATTTACAGGGTATTTCAGACAGTACAAGCAAAATATGTTCCTTCTAAGAATCAGACTGAACTTCTTTATTTCCTTAGTCTCTTTTCTATAAAATAGATATCTCCAACCCTAGATATCTCTATTTCAGAGCATTTAAAATGCAGTGTTCTACAATCCGCAATTTTCATAATACTTTTGGCACAACTACTACAGACTATAATTGCTTTTGGGCAGCTTTTAGGGCAGGTCTGTGCTATTCCATTGTTTGCTATGGTCGCATGCAGGTGCCTCCGCTAGAGTTCGAATGTCTCGGGGCATTACTCAGCACTTTACGCGTGTTGTGAGTGAATAAACTATATTTAGCTGGTTGTATTACGTACAAAGCTACGTTAAAAACCAATTCGATTGGCATCCATTTTGACAGCTTTTCCGCTGCATGATGTCTGTCTGGCAATGGATACATTGTATCCGAAGTCCGGGCATAGCTTAACCGGAATCTGTTTCAAGCTGTTTGTCGAAGGACGTCGCCGACTGTCGAACGCTTTTTTGTATTTCTCTATTTTGATATTTTTGCAGCTGCCAAAATGCAATTGGCGAATGCAATAATAGCCACAAGGCGCTACGCAATACGCAATACGCATTTGCGTGGCATGCCCCAAAACGGCAGCCACATGAATTAAGCCGCAGCAGCCACCGCATTGCGTGGTGCACTATGCGTGGTTCATGGTGCGTGGTGCGTGGTGCGTGTGGCTCGTTAGGTGGCTGGCTGGCTAGCTGGCTGGCTGGCTGACTGACTAACTAACTGAGTGACTACTTGGCTAGCCAACCATCGCAACAGCGGCGGCAAGTGTGGTGCGATTGTGCATGCAAATTGCCATATAAATAACAAGCTCATTTCTTGGGCCTTTACATGCCTAAGAATGCCATTTGACTCTTTACACTGCAGATACAGACAAAACTGGAATACAGCCCAATACATCGAAAGCAACATGTTTTAGCATACACGAATGTCTGCATAACCAGCATAATCTAGACTGTTGTCAATCTGCAATGGAATGACAAATATATACAGCATACATAATATGCATAAATATAGCTATGAGTACGTGTTTTGAGTAATCTATGGCTTAAAATGCATAGCATTTACATCTATACCATTATGATGATAAAATATATAATGATGATGATGATGATGCCATAGTCATTGTCATTGTCATTGTCATTGTCATTATCATTGTCATTGTCATTGTCATTGTCATTGTCATTGTCATTGTCATTGTCATTGTCATTGTCATTGTCATTGTCATTGTCATTGTCATTGTCATTGTCATTGTCATTGTCATTGTCATTGTCATTGTCATTGTCATTGTCATTGTCATTGTCATTGTCATTGTCGTTGTCATTGTCATTGTCATTGTCATTGTCATTGTCATTGTCACTGTCATTGTCTAACAATCTCATAAATCAATGAATTAATTTTGTCTCATTATCATCAGCAACATATTGGAGAGGAATGGCAGCGCTGTAGATGCAACCATTGCCACAATGCTGTGCAATGGACTGCTGACCTCACAAAGCATGGGCATTGGCGGTGGCCTAATAATGAATATCTATCATCGAGAGTCTCAACAAGGCTATCAGATCGATGCGCAGGCCGTGGCGCCCTATGCTTCCCATCAGAAGATGTTCGATAAAGATGCCAATGCCTCAATTTTCGGACCGCTAAGCATTGCAGTGCCTGGCGAGGTGATGGGCTATCATTTGGCGCACAAACGCTTTGGCAAGCTGCCATGGCGGACTCTAGTGGAGCCTTCTCTAAAAATTTGCGAGACTGGATATCGAATGAGTAACCATCAGGCGTCGAAGGTGAAGATGATGTGGTCCTATATCAAGGATAATTTGCAGTATCAGTAAGTACATGTCGCTAGATCTAATGAGATAGATAGATTATCAAGCAAACTTCATCGTAGATCCGTTTTTCTGAATGAGGAAACGGGAGAGCACCACCAGGAGGGAGCATTGCTGAAACCACCGGCAAAACTGTGCAACACGTACAAACTACTAGCGGAAAATGGGCCAATGGACTTTTACAACGGCACCGTGGCTCAAATGCTGGCCGAGGATCTGAAGGAGCTGGGCNATATATAGAAAGGTAGATATATCTCAATGGCATCACCTTATTTAACGAGCTAGTTAATTTAGAACATGCTGCGCATTTTTGTGTTGCGTCTCATTAATTAATTTAATGCGATTTATTGCAAAATTTGCCGCAATTTTCTTGTTGTTCGGCTGGTTGTGTTGTTGTGTTTGTTTGTTTTCCCCCATCACGTAATGCACACAACAGTAAACATAATTAATTACAAATGTATTGACAGGCAGTCAGGCAGCAACAACAACGAATATCAACGAAATGTAATATTAGAGAAATAACTGCCAACAACCAAGGAGCATCGATGGATGTTGGGTCAGCTCGAAGTTGAATGTTGCCGTTGAATGTGGCATGTTGTGGATTAGTAAAGAGTGGTGCGACAAGTGCACCGTGGGGCGGACGGGGTGCTGGCGTCTGGGATACTACCGGCCAGACGATGCCCGCCAGCGATAGCATTAAATTTATTTATATTATTATTTGTGTTCATTTAGTTTTAATTTATGATTTGTGCTCTCCGATGGTTGTAGGCCGCTTTCCTGCTGTCGGCACCTCTGTTGGCCTGTTACACCTGCTACGCACCGTCCCGCCGCTAATAATAATTGCGACAGCCCGTGACGGCGAGATTTATTGGGAAAACTAAGACCGCACGAAATTCAATATACGCAAAAAATATAAATAAATATATCGAGACAGAAATTAAAACAACTTTTGATCAAAGCGATTGCCCAAATATCCGCTGAGATATTGAATTGTGCAGTTCGTAGGCCTTAAATTGTCTCATTTGCATCCGAAAAATGTCAAGTCGGATTAAGACTGTCTTTGAAATTTGATATACAGACTAAGTAGAGGCTGCTGGCACTTAAATACACTTTGTCGACGCCTATAGATATTTATAAATAGAAATAGCGAAACTATGGGTGTAGAGATATTGATGAAATTTCGCACGAATATGGATTATGAACATATATATAGAGATGTAGCGATAGATTAAGCGATATGAGTGTGGTATAAGGAAATATTATGTATCGATATCGAAAGCCTCTAATGAGATTTAAAGATGAAATTGCATAGATGTTGATATAGATATAAATGGAAATGCAAGCTGGGCTTAAGCATGCCATAGCATTGAGGCTCTTTGAAGCGATCGCTCATGGATAGAAGTAGATTGTTTGATAAGGATATGGCATGTTTAGGTTATTATCTACAAAGATCAAAGCTAGAAGTAAGAACTCATCTTATGATCAACTCATTCAATAGAATGACTCAACTAAACGTTTTGTCAACCTAACTTTGTTTAATATAAGAATCAAGTTTGTTGAAGATTCAATCAACTCAAGTCTTTAGTCAAAGCTAAATGCTGAAGATTTCTCTTAATCTAATTCTGGTTTCTATATCAAATAGGTTGACCCCATAAGAGCAGTGGCAATACAAATTGGCTTCTAATGAAAACGATTCGATACGACTTCCGTTCCTATTGATTACAGTTTGAGGCAAGATCCAGGCCATTAGGTATCAAAGAACGCATCATTCACTTGGAGCTCAGTTCAGGTTGCAACGTGCAACGTGACTGCAGCAAGTGTGCCTCGAATGGTTGGCGACGAGTCCACTCCTCTGGCTCCCCATCATGAGTGCTTGCTACGGCTGCTTATCACTTTATGCCAATCATCAGCCGGATGCTGGCTTAAGACCCAAAAGAGTCTACTCAGGCTAAAACGTTTTGCTGTGTGAGGAAATGCTCAAGTCGAATGATCTCTGATCTCACGCTGAGAAACACTGAGCTGAAATGAAATGAACTGAAAATTCTGTTGGCCCTTCGATTTTAGGGACTAACGCTAAATCGATACCGATAATTTAGGCAACTGCTAGAGTTCAGTTATCGATAAGGGCATCAGTCTCATACATTGATAGATCAACCCTATGGAGTACTTCAACAAGATCGATCGATACCGATAACTTAAACGACTGCTAGAGTACAGTTATCGATAAGGGCATCAGTCTCATTGGGTCGCTCAAAAGTACTGGAGGACAGTCTCGGAGATGGATAGATCACAGTCTCTTTGTAATGCTAATAGTGTTTACATATTTATATATACACATCTGTCTATATCCTGGATTACATAATGTGTGACAAAATTGTGGTCTCATAACTCCCATCTGCATTCGAAACGGAAACGTCAATTTAATTGGATGTGAAACAATTTAATAAGATCATAACTAATAGGAGTTCAATGTCGTCTCGATTTTTGATTTAATTTGCGCGGCTCGAGCTGGTCCTGGGATCATTAGGCGATTTTCTTTTTCTCTTTTGAGTTATGCATTTTATTTAGCAATGGCTTCATTTGAATGTGGGGAGCCGTCAAGCTGGCTCAAATCGCAGCTAATGGCAGCTGAATGTCTTTCGGTTAGGCAATCGGGTTTTTCGCATACGTTTTTTCTATGGATTGTTTGCGGTCGCCGTTGTTGTTGCTGTTGTTGACTTTTTGGGGCGTCTCTCATTATCTTGGACTGTAAATGGCAATGCGTGCACATTTTCCGCGTCGAGGTGGCGTGGACAACTGGAACTGGAACCAGTTCCACAGATGCCAACGGTTCCCATCGCCCGTTACGCCAAGTTCAATGTCAATGGCCGTGACATGAGTTGTGCATGGGTGTGCTTGAGTGTGTGCTGTGTGTATTTCGACTTGTTTCACTTTGTCTCTGATTTATTTGTTTGCCCATTCCTCGATGATGTTGTTGTTGTTGTTGTTGTTGTTACTACTTTGTTAGTTTTTCTGTTGTGATTTGTTTTATTTTGTTTTATATTGTTTTGTTTTGTTTTGTTTTGAGCAAAGCAACTGCTACATTGTTACGTCTTGTTCCGAGATTTCCTGCTCCGATCCGAATGCTAATGAACGGCCCGTTAGCCAGGCCAATGAGGAGTCAAAGCCAAATAGACACCAAATAAAAACAACAACAAAATCAGCAGCGATTTGGCCAACTGTTGCATTACCAAACGACATACACCATAAACCATACAATATGCACCATGCACCATACACCATATATCACACACACACACTCACACACACTCACACACGCACTCACTCACTCATAGGCCACATCAGCACTTGTGGCAATCCTCGTCGCGACAAACTTGTCGCCGAATTGGTGGAAATTGATTGCATTAGACACCGTCGCATTGTCTCTAGATATGCATGCAATAACATACACACACACACACACACATACATATGTATGTACATAGAGAGAGATATATATGGCAGACACAACTGCAAGAGCCGACAACTCAATTAGCTAAATCGCATGGTAAATTATAACAAACACTCTTGACTATCTAGCAGCTGGCCCGATAAGGCTAGCAAAGACCATTGCAACTGTTCGTGCCACGAGCCAAAGTCATTCCAAAGACTTTTCGCTGTTGTTGTTGCTGCTACTGTTGTTGTTGCTGTTGTCTGGTTAGCTAGCTGGCTGGCTGGCCCTATACTCTTGGAATGCGTCTGCTTCAGGTAGGGTATGCTAGCTGTGCGCAATCGTTGGCATCGTCTTACTGCTCTTTCTACATGTGGCGGAAGAGACTTAGAGACTGCTGCCTCGTAGATTAACTGATCGATCGATCGCAGTGATCAATAATTATCGATTTAGGCTAGCCTAGAAAACTGTGCGTCTTCGATTTGCTTTCTGGAACTCCTTTGATACTTCAAATCTACCTTAGAAATTAACATGATATGGTATATTAACATGCTACAGTCGAGTCTAAATAAATCGAAAGTCGCGATAAATCGAGAAAATTCTATACCCTTGAAAAACTTCGTTCTCGATAACTCTCGATAATTTGAATTTCTGTGTAAATCGAAAAAAAAAAAAAACTGATGCCATTTCGACTTATCGGGTCATTTCCATTGCCATTTCGACCTATCGGGTCTCGACTGTATAATATTGTAATACACTAAAAATACATTTTTTTATGACAGATTATATTTTGAGTAGAGATGCATTTTGTAGGGAAGGCAAGTGTAATTGAAGTAGAGTAAAAAATGAGATGGGTCGCATTGATGAGTTATAAAGTTGATAACAACATTTCAATTCTTGACTCAATTCGAAGTACTCTTCGAAAGAGGTCTTTTATTTGAACTCGACTCTATTTAATTATAAAGTACTTAAATTGAAGTTCTTTAGCCTCCATGTTAGACTCTGCCGTGAATACCCTTTAAATTTGCATACATTCCTTACCGTATTTCGTATCTGTATAATTTATGCATAGCGTATCTGCATTTGTATTCCATCTCAGTTTTCAGCTATCTTTCGCCCTGCTACAGGGTATTCACTTTGCACTTTGAATTCTTCAACTCCAACTTGTGTAGCAGTAAATATATTTCAATTCATTTTCAATTAGTCTCTTATCCATTTAGATTATATACATTATGTATTTATATACATATATTGCTAAGCACTTGAATACTTCAATAAATAACTCGAAAAAAAAGGGAATTTCTTATTGGCAATTTTTACCACCACCATGGATGGGGTGGGCGTGTATTATCCTTGACATCGATGAAGTAGTCATTGGAGATTTCGGGCTTGGGATCAACGGACTCGTCCGACACATCGGCTGCATCCTCTGCCTCCGCCTCTTCGACGGCCTCAACAACCGGTTCTGCAGAATCGGCTTCGTCCACAGCCTGGACCAGATCCTCAACTTCTGCACGATCCACGGGCGCAGCACCACCCAGTGGTGCGATTAGTGCCAGAGCAAGAGCAAAGCCTAATACAATGTGACACTTCATGATTACCTGTCTGCTCGCCAGAGATTCTCAGCGCTTATCTGCTTGACTTTCTATGACAGTAGCTGCTTTTATATGAACACCGAAACGCAGGTAATTTAATATGGATAACATATATATATACCACTCGACTTAACAAGCGAAGACTAGCGATATTCATCCAGAAATTAGCACTTCCTACTAACTACTCCTTC